ACTATTCAGACTATTACTGTATGCCTTGCACAATTTCTCAAACCCTCTTGTTTAGCCATCAACTTTTAGATTTAGCTTGAGGTTGTTTTAGGCATGTGGAAACTAACAATGAAGACAATAAAGATGAATACGTGATTCAAAAATACATATATTATTAAATTAACAAATTGTGAACAAAACTAACATTGCTTTTTATTTAAATTAAATAAATAATATTTCACATCAAAAGAAACAACAATGTTTTAACAAATCGTATTAAATAATCTGATGACAGAACTGTAAACAGAATAGCTGAAACTTTAACAAAATAAAGAGTAACTCCGTTTCCTATAATCATTAACCCATGTTTGAATCATTGAGTTAACTGCGTGTGTTGCTGCTAGCATACATAACACCTGACGTGGAAACGTTACTCGTGTATGGGGCTACAGAGCTGCTAGAAAGACAGTCGAACCCGGTGCATTCCTCCGTCTGGATGTGGAGCACTTTTGCTAAATGTTTAGACACATTGCTCGTGTTACCGGCCTCACATGCTGAACTCTCTTGGCAAGGAGCATTGTCCACCTCAAGACGGGTAACATATAACCACACCTTGGAGCGCTTCTCTCCGCCATCTCCTCCGTGTGTTGCTGCTTGTAGCAGACGCGTGTGTGTAAACTGCCCCGCCCCCTCGCGCACAGACGGGGGAGAGAGATCTCGTCTCGATTGGAAAGATCGAAAATACACCGACATTTGTTTGTCTTTGTGCATGTTAGAAACGAGTTGGCGACACTAAGACTGCGAGATAATGTTTGTGTAGCAATAATACATGACCTTTCTCAACTCGCTACTCGGAGGGAAGTCGCTGTCATTTGCCTTGTGAACACTCCGATAATGCCTCTCCACGTTACCTTTCTTTGGCAGAGCGACGCTTGCTTTACAAATAAGGCAAATAACCTTTGAATGTGACATCACAAACAAATATTCTTCCTCCCATTCTGGGTGGAAGTGGTATGTCTTTAGCTTCTTGCTCGGTCCCGCACTCATTTTGTTGTTTGTCTCTTGTTTGTCTCTTTAACTTAATTTGAGTTTTCCCGGCACTTGACTGATTTTGTATCGCTTTGCATTCTGGGTTAACAGACTGGAAAGCGATAGGTCGCTTTTTCTGTCAATCAAGTAAACTCCTGAATTAAGTGGCAGGGAGGCCAAGGGAGGAGGGATCAAAACCTGTTTTGTCTATTTTAACGGAACAGGATTTTTTTTTTTATGAATGACTCGCGATCGACCAGCTTTGCCCCCGCGGTCGACCGGTCGCCCGCGGTCGACGTACTGGGCACCTCTGGTGTAGTGTGTAGTTCTGGGGGGCGTTTGATTCCAGTTTTGGATAGTCTGGCGTGGTTTCGTTCCATTTCAAACAGCTGTTTGACGCTCGGCGTAACCTTGGCGCACTGCCACTCCAACATCCAATCCCAGACCTTGAAGATTAATCACAGGGACTGTAGTCCTAAACGATAGCTGGGAATTATGGGTAGTGTAGTGTCTTCGGCAATCCTAAACTCAAAAATGTTGACAATCGAAATGATGCTCGAAATGTCCCTTATAGGCCTACGTCTGTTTCCGGTAGTGCTGGGGGGAAACGATTATTTTAAAAACGATTAATAGGGCGATTATTTGATCGATTAGCCGACTAATCTAGCGATTATTTTTCTGTTGTTCAATCCATAAAAAACGTAATGTAAAAAAAACGTAATGTAAAAACAAAAATTTTCACGATACTGTGTCTCAGGGGATCTTAATATTTAAGAACCTATTAATGTGTTATACCAGATTAACGGAAATAATCTCAGCTAATTGACGATACAAACCATGTTTACCAAAACAAAACACAAGTCTCATAAGAAGCATCTAAATGACCCCTGAGCGAAAAATGCTAACGGACATTGGCACAGAACTCAAGATAAAAGTACCCTTATTACTTATCGTAGCTGCACATACAATATATCCGATTAAAGCTGAGACTCCACAGATTATGTAGGTATCAGGGTTTCCGTTAGCCGGTAATTACCGGTTTTTAGCTGGTAAAATTGAATAAAAACCGGTAAATTCAAAACCTGCCGGTCAAAATGTCCGATGCTCCGATCGATCGGCCGATATTCACTGTTAATAGTTTGATCGGTGCTCTCTATGAAGGCCGATCAGGAGAGCTGGATCTGATCGATATGGACATAAACGCGAGTGAAGTATAACCGGACACGCGAGAGAGAGAGATCAGATCAGCTGCTGAGTCAGACCGAGACACGCAGCTCTGCATGATCACCTGAAGCCCCGCCCTCTGTTTAGCGAGCTGCAGGAGAAACTGACGGGCTGTCAGGAGAGGGAGAGGGGAAAAGAGAGGATCCGTTTCTCCCGTGTTATTATTCAAAGTTAATTTGAATAATGTACTTCATCTACTACAAGTAGTTTATTTGAATGTAATAATTATGTTGTTTGTTGTTTGCGGAATCATTTATTGAAAAATGAATCTGAATTTTTCCGATCTGTTACGATTATAAACTGAAGCAATATAAAAACGATCCCCATTAACTGAGTTTTAAACATCAGCATATCCGGTCCTAATCCGTAATTACCTGCTAACGGAAACTCTGCTACACAATTCTTATTATTATTATTGAAACATGACCGGTAAATTTCAAATTTGTCCGGTAAAATTAATTCTGTCCGGACATATGACCGGCGAGAAAAAATCCTGGCGGAAACCCTGGTAGGTATATAGTATCATCACTGAGTGATCCGGACTCGCGACAGGGGAAGCAAATACAGTCATCACAACACGTACCTTCACAGAGCTTCTAGGGAGATCGTCTCACCACCGTAGCTGTCAATCTGATCAAAAGACGTGTTCAATGGCATTAAAATGAGAAAAAACGAGGCTGAATCGGTTAATCCATAGGTTTTTAACGTCTATGTATAAAAAAATGATTGAATTTATAATCCATAATTCCATTTTATGTAAAAAATCGGAGAGCAAATGCTAGCTGCTAATGGTAGCCACCACAGCTAGCTGCTGCTTCTGCTAGGCTATGCAGCAGTCTCAGTGAGATATAAATATATAAATATCTTTGCGTTTTGGACTAACTTTAAAATATTCCCATGCTTTTGAAGACCGAGGGCGAGATGTTTTCGTTTGGGGGCTTCGTGCGCAATCCTGTGAGGAGGAGGTGGTAGCCGTTTCAGTCTCCATTGTGTTTGAAGTGCGATTGCGAACTGCTTGTTGCTTTGGGTGTGACCCACGTGTGTGTAGCGACGCGTGGACGCGGAAATATGTCGTCGACGATATTTTGAAGTCGTCGACGCGTCGCTACAGCACTAGTTTCCGGTTATTTTTATTTTGAAATTCAGTTCCTGACGAATGCCAAAAAAGCCCGAGATTATGGAATTAAACTAATAAATAAAAGCAAGGATAATTGTGTGTTATTGGTGAGTAAATAACAGTGTGCTATTTTGAAAAGAATAACAAATTAGAAGGAAATAAAAGATTGAAAAAATACGAGGCTCTGAGCCCAATTTATTTTCCTCACAGACGGCAACACTAAAGGTCTAAAATAAAGACCTAAATGAATATTTGGGATGTTCTTGCCTTTAGATTCTCCCAATAAGTCCAAGTACAGAGGGTGACTTTGTTGTGAAAAAACACATTTCCACCAAAAAAACTTTAGCAACCATGAATGTGTACACATTCATGAAGTAATCTTCGTCATAACTAGCAAACTAAACATCATGTACATGTACTGCACAAATAATCAGAAATGAATACTCATTACTCGCATAAAATGACATCAAAACGCATTTTAATGGCCAAATGAACCTTAAAATAGGCATTTTCCACCGAGAATAACACGAAGGTCGGCCATTGTTGTTGATCACGTGGTCTATGAAGGTCTATGGGACGCCCTGCCCGTAGAAGCCTGACGGTCAAGGGGTCCGTAGTCCGCAATGAAGGTCTATGGGACGCCCTGCCCGTAGAAGCCTGACGGTCAAGGGGTCCGCTGTACGTAATATAGCGACGGGGAGGGGCCGTGTGTGTGTGTGTGTGTGTGTGTGTGTGTGTGTGTGTGTGTGTGTGTGTGTGTGTGTGTGTGTGTGTGTGTGTGTGTGTGTGTGTGTGTGTGTGTGTGTGTGTGTGTGTGTGTGTGTGTGTGTGTGTGTGTGTGTGTGTGTGTGTGTGTGTGTGTGTGTGTGTGTGTGTGTGTGTGTGTGTGTGTGTGTGTGTGTGTGTGTGTGTGTGTGTGTGTGTGTGTGTGTGTGTGTGTGTGTGTGTGTGTGTGTGTGTGTGTGTGTGTGTGTGTGTGTGTGTTCGATATGCGCAACTCAAGGCATATGCTCGAACGGGAGCTGCCTGGACGCTGCAATCATGTTACGCGCACTATCCGTGCTGACTTCCGTACAATGTCTGCATAAAGTCAAGTGCTCGGCGCAGTTGTGGCGAAATGTCGCTCCTCTGTTTTCATTTAAACAGCTCCTTATATCTGTTAGCGCAGCTAGCTAGCACCAGATGCTAACAACAACAATGCACGTAAGGTCTCTCTCTCGCTCGCTCGATGCACACATACACACACCCTCCCGGTCCTCCCGATGGCCAGTCGGTGCCTGCCGGTGAGCGTGGAAGTGTGGTCTGCCACAAGCGGGCAGCAGGAGCGGGGCTGTCAATATCAGCTTGTAGATGGTATTTTAAAATCGATACGCTCTGAAACTACGGGGTGGTCGAGGAAAAAAAAAAATACACATGCGGTAATCGCGTTAAAATAATTAGTGGCGTTAATTTTTTTTTGCGTTATTAACGCGTTAACTTGACAGCCCTAGTTGCAAGTAAGTTGATCATAATAACATTATCCCCAAAGTATTTCTAATAAGGAATAGCCTTCCCAAGTGTCATGTTTAATACCACCATCCCCCCCTGATATTAGTCCTAGATTTTAATGTATTTACTGAGTTTTCTACATCTCTGCTCATCCTTGCTGCAGGCACAAGTGTGAAGAATGTGGAAAGGCTTTCAAGATCCAAAAGCAGCTGATCAACCACCTTCGTCTCCACGAGGAGCACCGAGCCAAAGGTCTTGTTCGGACTGGCCCCAACAGTTCTCGCTTCCAGCAGCCTGGGACATCTCAAATGCAGAATATGAGAGGAGAATCATCAAAGGCCCAGCCGATGGGCGTGAAATATAGCCAGCAAGGGTTCAAGAAGCCCTACTCTTCAGCTGGAACTTCAAGGCCCCAGAAGTTTGATCCATCTGAGACTGGACGTCGGCCTTTTTCATGCGAAGAATGTGGCAAGACATACCGACATGCAGGTAGCCTGGCCAATCACAAAAACCTTCACAAAATTGGGGAGTACCACTGCAACGTTTGCAACTCCACATACCCCAACAGGCTGGCAATGAAAAACCATCTACGTCTCCACTTTGCCCAGAAGAAGCACAACTGCCAAGAGTGCGGCAAGGGCTTCCGTACCCAGAGGCAGCTAGCTACCCACACTACAGCTGGCCTGTGCAAAGGGCCGCAGGGTCCCGGGGTCCAGATGGATTTTGAGTGCGATGGCTGCTGCGAAGGCTTTGCCACGGCCGATGAGCTTGCAGCCCACGACTGCCCGGCCCAGCACCTGCCTTCATCCTCCTCAAGCAACACCCCCAATATCAGCTTGGAGAGAAGTTCTGTGGATCTGGACTCTGACGAGAGACCCTACGCTTGTGACCTGTGCAGCTGTGCCTACAAACATGCAAGCTCATTGCTGAACCACAAGCACACCCACAAGACAGGCAACTTCCGTTGCAATTTCTGCGACAAGCCCTACACCAACTATATGGCCCTGCGCAACCATATGCGCATCCACACGCAGCGTAAGAAGCACATCTGCCACACGTGTGGGAAAGCCTTCCGGCTTGCCAGGTTCCTCCGAAACCACCAGAAGGTCCACGAGGAGGGTGCTACCCCCTTTGGCTGCCCCACCTGTGGGAAGAGTTTCCAGGGGAGATCCGGCCTGGCCAGGCACCGCTGCGGAGACAACCAGGTAGGCATGGAAATCAGGAAGAAGGCCACTGCGACCCCGGGAGAGGGCGAGGAGTGTCGGTACACGTGAGTTCTCGTCAGTTGTTTGTGATTATACAAAGTTGGCCCAAAAAATAGTGAAGATAAATTTAGGTCTCTACGTGTCTATTACAGGTATATGATCTCCAATCCGGCTTCCTTGGGACCATACGCGTGCCGGAATTCGGATTTTTCTGAAGTTTGGACAAATTGAATTAGTGGAGAGACCAGATAAGTCAACCCCGTTTGCTTTCAGTTAGCATATCACACACTTTAGTTTTTAAGGCTACCTTCATGTTTAGATGTTTTAATTTCATGCTTTGCTTTACTTAGCCAACCTTAACACAGATTTGCTTTTTAAGTATTTTGTGTGTAGCATATTAGCAACATTTTTAGTATTGATGTTTGTTCCTTGCTCTTGTAATGATTTTGATTGTAGTCTTTGATTTGTTTGTTTGTTTTCTTTAGGTAGTCTAATAATACTGGCCAGTTATTAGACTAGAACATGGAGTTTTTGATGGGACACTTGCATTTTGATGTCTGGCAAATAAAAGTCAGAGGATAGATTAGGAAGTATTTGGAGCTAGCTGCACTGCACACGTCAGCGGTTATTCTTACATCTTTCGTTATTACAGGCAGACATGGTAGAGGTTCTTTGGCATTTTTGATGGATCTTTTATCATTATATACAGAAAAGAGTGATTACCCAAAAGACGGCTGTGACAGAAGGTTTATTAAATTGTTCCCATATGTGAAAGAAGCTTGCGTCCATTTGTGCAGTGCAGGGAGCAGCAGATACTTCCCAGTCCCCCACATGAATCCCAGTTGTTTGTCCATAGTTGTTTGTCCATGCCCCTCCCTCCCTCCCTATCATCTGTGTAGAAATCATAACTTTAAATGGTACACCACTTTGTAGTAGTCTTCTTTCTTTGAAAGCTTTAAGCCGGATTTCAGATCATATACCTGTATGAACAACATCTTAGATGATGGGTTGTCAAAATATTTCAATAATTCTAAGAAAAAGTGGTAACCAGAGTTAAATTTGGATAGAATTTTGTAAGCGGACTATTATTTTCAGTTTCTAATCTCCCTTTTCTCTTACCCTCTGTCCCATCCCCATGTTTGTCCTAATTTGTCTCTGCACAGGTGTGATCAATGCGGACGCTCCTACCGCCACGCCAGCTCCCTCCTCAACCACAAGAACACCCACACAGTCGGCATCTATCACTGCGCCGTGTGCCTCAAGACCTACTCCAACCTGCTTGCCCTGAAGAACCACCGTCGTATCCACTCAGAGATACGGCGCCACAAATGCCACGACTGCGGAAAGGCATTCCGCGTTTCCTCCCAGCTCCACAACCATCGACGCGTCCACCAAAAGCAGCGGGAGCTCACCTGCCGGTCCTGCCAAAGATCCTTCCCCACGCAGGCCAGCTTCAGCCTCCACATGGAGATCACCCATGGCCAGACGCCGCAGCCCCGTCAGCCCAGACCCCAGCAGCCTCTGCCGGGGGGCTCCAAGGAGCTGGGCTGGGGGTCAGGCCTGGACCTCACGTTGATGCAAGAGCAAGGACTGCACCCTAGCAGCATTGCCAAAGCCCGCAGCCGTGGTGGTCACAGCGAGGTCCTCAAGCCCCACGTCTGCGATCAGTGTGGCCGCTCTTACCGCCACGCCAGCTCCCTACTCAACCACAAGAACAGCCACAAGACTGGGACCTACTTCTGCAACTCCTGCCAGAAGGAGTTCCCCAACCTGATGTCCCTCAAGAACCACCGCCGGATCCACACCGAGCCCAAACGCTACCAGTGTCCCGACTGCGGGAAGTCCTTCCGTGTCTCCACCCAACTCATCTGCCACCGCCGCATCCACACCAAGGAGAAGCCGTTCTCCTGCCAGCAGTGCGACAAGCACTTCTCCTCCAAGTCCAACCTGAGGCACCACATGAAGGTGCACTGGAACGGATCCACGGCGCCCCCTCCCATGGCCATGGGTGCGCCCAACTTCCTGGGTATGCCCGGCGGCCCCTTCATATAATATGGGATCAGGGAAGGATGGGAGTCAGGGCGGGGCGGGCGGGGGATGGGGTAGCAGGTGCTTTGAAGTCACATGCCAAGGTTTTTTCCATGTGCAGCCGTAGTGTGTGTGTGCGTGTGTGTGTGTGTGAAGGACAGGTCCTGCATGACTGAACATACACGTAAAGCAGAGCGCAAAATGGACGCTTGTGCGCACACACACAGAGAACTCAAAACGGAGGACATGCACACACTCGTTTCTAACCTTTCTTGCGCCAATGCTTCCTTGGCGGATGCTCCCACAAGGCCCTGTTTGTAGAACTGTCCCACGCAGACTGACAGACATGATGTAGTTTCATAGACTTTACTACACCTGCCTTACTCCCGCCTGCATGTTGCCCCATACTGCCTGGGGAGGGGTTTAACCTTTCTCCGGAGCACCTGCAGGGACTTTTCTGAAAGCCCAGCTCGTAGAGACTGACGAGTCCTGTGTTTGTGACTGTTGAGGAAGTCTGATGCGTGCTCATTTCAACCCCAGGAGCTCATTGGTCCTGTGTTTGCTGTTTCTCTGTTTCCCGCCTCCATCCCTGTTCTGACGATGTTCATAGTAAGTTTTGCGTGGCCTTTGTCACAGCGTTTTTAAAACCATATTCAGACGGAGTCTGTCTACACAGTGTTTTTATTTAAGACCAACATGTAGGTAAAGTGGAGACTTTTGGTTTGTTTTTGCTTTTTTTTGTACCTGGATGGTTTTGACGAGAGGAAACAATGACTTGTGGGAGCTTTTAGGACCAGTAGATTGAATGGTTGGGTTTAAACGTGTGTTTTTGTGTGTGTTTAGCACCAAGATGAGCTTCTTAACTTTGTAACTTCCTAAAGCCTTGTTCCCACTAACAGATCCAGCAGCAGCAGCAGTGTGTCACACCTTTTTAGTCTAAAACCCGCAGGCGTGTTCAGCGGTAAACGGGTCATTTTAAAAATACTGTATGTCAATAGCACACAAGATTATTTCCTGTCCAACACATTTTCATTATTGTCAATTTAGTTGGAAAGTAAAGTTTTACAGATGTTTTTTTTGTTTTAAATCAAATATATTTGATTTGACAGCCCTATTGAAGAGGAAGGGTGATTTGGTTGAAAGCCCCAGAAAAGGGCTAGTAAGCCCACCCCTAAGTGGGGATATTTTTGCCCAAATCTTTTGAAGTTCAAGAATAAACACTGAGGCATGATTGGGTTGGTTTGTTCACTTATGGTTTGCTTGTTAAAGTTGAATCGTAGAGAACTGTCAAACTGTTAACCAACGATTGGTTTGTTTTATACCTCGGAAAATGTCGGAAAACTCCTACAAAACAATCAGTCCATCTGCTTTTGACGTTAAGAAAGTAAGTGGACCCTGAGTTTGGATAGTTTCAGTAATGCATTTTAAGTCCTTGTGTTAGATCTACATTTACGAACAAATGTTAACGTTTAATGTGTCATTTTATTTTTTATCGTATTGGTTCTCTAGTGTTGCCTTCAACTACAAAGTTCATAAGAGCTACGAGTTTCTGCTTAGTAAATGAGGTTTGAATTATGCGGAACAAAAATTAATACAATTATTTAAGACCCTACAAAACATAGAACAATATTTTGGCTGTTCTTTTTTTTTTAACAAGCAAATATTTTCAGTCCACACGTTTTCTTCTTTCACTTTTGCATTAAAACTATAATGATCGCGTTTCTTACCTCACGCTCGCTGTGTGTGAATCTGTGTGTGAACGTGGCTGCAGGTTTACAGAACAAAGGAAAGAAAGTAAAACACACAAATTGACGGTGTATATTGTCGGGCCTGTATTGTAATCGTGCTTTCTGTATTATCTGCGGGAACTCTTTTGTAAGAAGGAAAAAGACGACAGATCATTGTAATAATGCATTTATTTATATTATTATTATTATTATTAACACTTGTAATGGCCGGCGCTAGTCTTTAGGATGTGTGAGTTTAGAGCTGTGTTGATGTAAACCCCCCCCCATCTCTCTTACCCACAATCCCCTCTGTTCAGTGGAGAAGATTTAAACACTATGTGTAAACAATGGAAAGTGTTTTCTTGCCTTTTACCAAGTAATGTTGTGACGGTGGAGACTTCCCATCATCCATCTCTTCCATATTTATCTCTCCCTCTCCACCTACTTCCTGTTTCACAAAAATCAAGCTCACATGGCAAAGGGACGCCTTAGTGATTCTCCTCCATCATTTGAACCTTTTTTATGATAACCTCTTGTATTTATTGGTGTTTTTATTTTATTTTTCTCCTTTTTGTATTTAATTGCATTATTTGGAAAGCCTCTGTGTGCGGTTTTTTTTTTTTAAAGAACACAACTTGTCAGCCTATTCAGGAGCACTGGTGCTAGTTAAAAAAAAAAAAAAAGTTAAAAGCCGTGCAGTGACCGTCAAGTGCTGTAGGAGTCGATGTGATCTAGAAACACAGAAATTATAATAACTGTACATTTTCACATCTTCCTGTTCTGAGTGGACCCATTTCAGCTAGTTTTAGAGAGAAGAAGAAGAAAAAATATTTGCTTTGGAACAACTATAACTAGGGATGCTCCGATCGCCAATTTTGGGGCCGATCGCCGGAATCAGTATCGGCTGATACCGATCCAATCGAGTGGGCGGGGCCTATGGGGATCTTCCATTTAAAGTGATGTTTAAAACTCAGTTAATGGGGCTCATTCACTGGAGCTTCCACAAACAACAACCAACATAATTATTACATTCAAATGAAGTACATTATTCAAGTGCTCTCTTTTCCTCTCCCCGCTCTCCCTCCCCTGACAGCCCGTCAGTATCCGTCTCATCTCACTGATCCAGTAATGAGTGACCCGACAGTGAAGAATAAACATATTTATAACTAGTTTAGCTTGTTCCAGAGGTAGATAAAATAGCCAAGTGTGTTAGGTCTAATTCTTAGTGTGTGTTTCGCTCCGCTCACCGGTCCGGCGGGCGGAGATGCAGGATTTCTGCTTCACACACGTGGCATTCCGCTATTTTACTGTCTTTTTCGGACACCTTAAAATACTGCCAGACCGGTGAAGCCATTTTGGCGAGCTTGTTTTGCCGCGCACAGAGAAAAGTGTCATGTATTTTACGTCATGTGATCGGCTCTCCCGATCGGCATTTATAGAGCACCGATCGATCGGCAAAGAGTGAATATCGGCCGATCGATCTGAGCATCCCTAACTATAACCCACTTTTTTGTTTTCATGCATATATATGTAATGCTTACTATACACTTTTATAAACTATGTTTTGATAATTCATTTCTTAACAGAAAAAAGTTGTCCATATACTATAACCCTTACTGCTGAGTACTGAAAATAAATAGTTGAAAAGCCAAGCGGGCGTCATCGTGTTCAATAGTTCTGCTAAACACAGGTTAATGTTAGGAACACTTTATATAGCCTGCTTTCCATACCGAAATATTTCATTTACATTTTAAACCTTAGACTTCATACAGAGTTTTAAAACTGTTTTCTAATATTAATATGGATGTTATGATTATAAAAACGGTACCAATCTGCATTGCTCTCGATATATGGTGGAAATAAAATACAACAGTTATCATTTATAGTTGATCTCAGCACTGACTCAACACCAAATACAAAAAGCCAAACTCTGAAACCGTTTGCCTTGTTTTGATATTCTATTGTTTATTGTTAAACCTGAAATTACGGGGGCTGACAGATGTAAATGCGTAACAACGGCCCAAAGTATTTCCATTGGGAGAAACGGGCTACATTCATAAAAAAAACAATATGGAAATACAAAAACACAAATGTGCCAAAACACATACAAATTAAGAAACACCTTCACCAACTGGACTAGATGCACAGCCTTTTTTAAACACTGCAATTTAAAGGGGACCTATCATGCAAAATGCACTTTTGTACGTATTTTATACATGAATATGTGTCCCCGGTGTGTCAGGGAACTCACCGAGTGTCAGAAAACTCAACCCTCTCTCTTTTCCTCCATACTCAAATCTCTAAAAACGGGGCTGCAACGGATCTGATACAGACTGATCCCGATTTGAAAGTTCTCTGACGTCAGGAACGAGGAGCTCCGCCTATATGGCCAACTCTCCACCTATCAGGAGGAGACGGCCATTGCCGTTCGAAAGGGCCGGAGACGCTGTAGTACATATGCCAGGCCTGTAGGTGGCGCTGTAGTCTGCCACAAAAGCAGCGAAGAAGACTTCTCACAGATTCAGCCCTTGCAAAAACAGGGCTAAAAAATAGCAAATAGAGCGAAATGAGGCATGGCTAAAATGCATGATCTGTTTGGTATTTTGAAAAAAAAACTTTGCAGACATGTTTTATATAGGTATGGCCCTACAATATATTATTCAAATATAGCATGATAGGTCCACTTTAAATAAACACTGCAAGAAGCTTAAAGCACAACAGAAATGGGGACACTTTAAGTGATGCACACAGCTGGTACCGGAGCACATGTTGACGGTAGAGGAGGATAAAGTTGGCCAAATGTTAGTGTGGGCAGTTAGTCTGTTTCATAACTCAGTATTGTCAGTATTTGTGAAATGACTATAATAACTTTATAATCACCGAACGTCAACAATTCTCCGGTCCCTGCTGTCTGCGTCACTTTCATACAAACTATTAGAATGATCAAATCCTGTCAATGGGAAAATTACCAGTTAAAATGGTATTAAATTTGACTTTGTTACGTTAAAGGGGTTTATATTATACATATATTTAATATTAGAGGGAAATATTCTGTTTCTCTTTCTGTATTTGGTACGTGCGGGAATACATTTTATTATTTATTTCTACCACAAATGGTAACTTTGTACATTTTTGGAAATCAGAACCAAAATGTGTTATTTATAAAATGTTTCTCTTTTTTTAAAGAAATGTAGTTTCTTTATTGAGATTTCAAAATAATAATTTTAAAGATGCCCATAATCACTTTCTGATGTTTTATAAGGAATTAACATCACTGTTTCCAGCAGAAAGCAGTGATATGTTTCTGAACCAAACTCCATCCTCTCTGTGCATGTTTTCATTGTGTCACAGGGGCTTTTTGGGATTAAAGTCTGTGTTTGAGAAAGGCGTGAACATGTTCAATTATCAACAGCTAATTATAAATGTTTATATTCAACAAAAGAAACAAAACAAAAAAGCAGATCCAACTGCTGCTGGCACAAAGTGATGTTGCTAATTTGATTTTTTGTTTTGTTTAACGTGCTGATCCTTTGGATTATGTAATGTGGAGTGTGTAATGTGATTGGAATAACCCTTTATGGTCGGACAATGAATGAATCCTTTCGTCACGCAGCTCAGATCCACTAAAGAAAACAAATAATGTGTTCGTATTAACGGGAACGTTCATTAATGTTCAACAAGCCAAAGTCTTTGTTTTTGTTTAAGTCAAAAAATAATTGAATAATAAAGAAAAATACCACATCGTAAAAATGTATATTAAAATATGCTGAAAAAGTTATAGTATAGTATGTCGAAATATCTTTAAAAACGTTTAGGTATAAAAAAAATCATAGTGTACTGTGTTGAAAATATCCGGAAAAAAGTACAGTACTATATCGTAAAAAATATAAAACAGTAATACTTTATTATTTAAAAAATATTTTTAAAAAGTCATGGTATAGTATGTCAAAAATATATCGTATTTTAGTATGTCAAAAATAGGAAAACATTTCATATTAAGTGTGTAAAAAAGGAGTCCTAGTATAGTATGTCAAAAATAATGTGAAATACAAATAATAGGACAGTATGTCATAGTTTAATATGTGGAAAAATATGAACAGACTAGAAATATTTTTTTAAGTACATAAAAAGTCACAGCATAGTAAGTCGTAGAAAGTCCCAAAAAGTCCTAGTATATATATCATGTCATAACAAAATATTATTCTATTATATTCCAAAAATATAAGAATTACATTTGAAAAAGTATAGTTTGTCATAATAAATTGCACAAAAACAAATTCTTAGTATAGTAAGTCATAAAAAAGGCAAAGAAAGGTATATTGAACATACATTGAATAGAAAAGTCATTTAAAGTCCTAGAATAGTATTTGGTAAACAACAGCGTAGCATAACAGCATAGTAATAGTATAGTATGTCATGAAAAATGTCACATAATAGCATGTTGTAAAAAAGTCATAGCATAGAACGTTGTTAAAATACTCCGTAAACTCTGTTCAGTTGTTGAAGAAAAGTCATAGTATGCCATATAAAATATAATTGAAATTCACAGTACATAGATTAGTATCTTGTACCAAAGTCATAGTATATTAGGTCATGCGAACGGTCTTAAAAGAGTCCTAGAATAGTAAGTTCATAAAAGAGTAGAATATCTTATTAAAATAGTGAATAAAAAAAGTCATAGCACACTAAATTGTGAAATAGGTTATAGATATATATATTTAAAAACAAATTAAACAAATGTAACTACTGTGTGTCATAAAAAATGTAAAAGTCATAATAAAAAGTCATAGTAGCCTATAGTTTAAAAAAAAGAATTAGAGTTGGTAATCTGAACTAAATCTTTAAACACCGAAGACCTTTGGGGTTCGGTGGTTTTTTATAGTCTGATACTAAAGTCCCCTGTCTGTGTCCTCTCAGATCTGAGTCCGGTGGGTTCCTCCTCCCGGACCTTCACCTGCAATCAGTGTGGCCGCTCTTACCGCCACGCCAGCTCCCTACTCAACCACAAGAACAGCCACAAGACCGGGACCTACTTCTGCAACACCTGCCAGAAGGAGTTCCCCAACCTGATGTCCCTCAAGAACCACGGCCGGATCCACACCGAGCCCAAACGCTACCAGTGTCCCGACTGTGGGAAGTCCTTCCGCGTGTCCACGGCGCTCGTCTGCCACTGTCGCATCCACACCAAGGAGAAGCCGTTCTCCTGCCAGCAGTGCGACAAGCTCTTCTCGTCTCGGGCAAACCTGCGGCACCACATGAAGGTGCACTGGAGGGGGCCGCAGCTGTCCCGTAGGCCATCCGCCTTCCTCAGCGTCCCCTCCAGACCGTTCATCTAGACCTCCAATACATTGAGGGAAACACATTTAAAACTTCTAAATATCGTGCTGCAGGAATGAGTCCTAAATCCCTAACATTAGTTAGCATTTTAGCACTAGCTATTCCCTCGTCCGGAAGTCAATGGTTTGTTGAATGAGTTTTTGTTTAGAGGTTGAAATAAGGTCTGTGGTTAACAGACTTTCAGGTTTTGTTCTGCAACATAAAATACATCAGTAAATAACCCACTGGTGAATGCCTGAAGCTTCAAGGTTTTTTGAAAACCGTGTTTCCTAAATGAGATTACTAAAGGCCATCATGCCAAACATAAGCTAACTTTAGTTTAGCGATGTCGACATAAAGTCATGTGACCAGCTCTTAGTTTGTTAACGCTAACTTTTTCTTCCGGATATTCCAATTGACAGTTGTGTCAATTTGTAAAGATATTCTGCTGAACAAAACCTGTAAAGTATCAATACATTCTGCAATAATCTAAAATCCAATAGAATAATCTCATTGGCTTTTTGGGGAGGGAACCAGGGAGATGCTCATTTCATCCCACCACCACTCTGTCAATATCTCTATATGACTTAAATATTTCACCAAATACATTTTGAGGAGGCAACTCCGACTCCCAGAATGTATTTCCCGAACACACAGCCAACAGAACTCCTGGCAGCAAGCTAACTTAAAATAAATATATAAAACTGAATCAACGACATCAATTTACAAATTCTGTTTTGGAAAAAATGAAGCCCAGACTTTGAGTTGTATCCAAAACCCACCAACCCACCATTGGCCAAAAATGTTGCAGTTGTTTACCACCATCGTGGAGAGGAGGCTAAAGATGGAATAACAGAAGTATGAAATATTTCGGAAGATCTCCTTAAACAATCAGCAGCTTAACGCAAAACTCTGCGATGTAAAAACTGTGATTACACGAGAGAGAAACAATGCTGTGTTCAGGAGCTTCAGATAAAAGATTCCGACCTTTGTGATGTGTTCAGGTGCAATACTCTCGTTAACTTCGCACAAACTTTGAAGTAGAAGTGGAGGAACTGCAACATCACCATGGACAAACACAAGCACATTCAGTGTTTTTTCATACTGCAGACGATAAAGAAAATGTACGGAAGCTCTGAGAGGCAAGTGAGGACAAAAGAAATCTGGTGATACAATTTCTATATCTGACCTAAATAGATTTCTCTTATTTTATGAGTTGAAAACAGCTGAATGACAAAAGTGTGTGAATATGTTTTCATCTTTAAAACAGGTCGATTTTTTGGTTGATGTATTTTCGCCTTTGAGTAATTCAAATAAAACCTGGGACATTGTGGTTAGATTTAAAGAAAAATCAAAGAAAATTCACAAAGTTCCTAAAGTTATTGTGAGTGTATTAATTAAAAATTTACATTTTTTGTGAGGGTCTTTGTTATTGTAAAAAAGGCCAATGTGCACAAAAATTATTTTTTAAAATATATCTCAAAAAAGCATTTATGTTTTCTTCCAGTATAGTTACAGAGTTACATTTTAAACATAATTTATTTTTCTTTTATACATTTTTTTTTTTTATAACCGCAATGTTCCTGGTTCGATTCCAGCCGTGGGACACGTCACACCCCATGTTTTTTTCACTTTTTCGACACTGATAACTGTCAAGCAAAGGCGAAGTTCTCCCAAAAATGTATCTGTGACCTGTTGAAGACGTAAAGCAGAAAGAAATATTGAGATGGCTTCAGGTACAGCTATTAAAATGAACTGACATTTCCACCTTAAGGGATTTAAAGTGGTTCGACTCCACTGTGGAGCGTTTGAGGGCCATCAGAGTCGAGAGCGTTTGGTTCTTCGTAGAGATTTTTTGTTTCACAATGTGACGTCTGATTTTAACATCAAGCATGGCAGTTCATTAATGCCACGTGGAGACAAATCTACCACATACGTTTATTTTATTTTTAATATTTCATTACATAAGGAATTTAATAGTTCTGACCTAGAAAAGAACATTTGTATAAATACCTCTTCATATTTTTTATTCAATCTTATTTAGTGTAAAAACGATTGAACATCAAACACTTTGAAGAAAACTCCCATGTGAATACATTACATGACATGTCACTTGTTAGACGCTTTTATCCAAAGCGACTTACATACTCAATACTGTGGACAATCCCCACAGGAGCAATTTGGGGTGAAGTGTCTCAGGGACACAACGACATGCTGACTGCAGTGGGGTTTGAACCTGTGACCCCTGATCCGAACACCATCGCACAACCCACTGCACCACACGCCTCCCCGCCTGTGTAAATAAACAGCAATAACACTATCCCTTGTGAGTAAAAAAGATTTAGAAGAAAATATTTAATTTATAGGAAACAAAACAATACATTAATAAAGAAAATGTAAAATCACATATAATGAAAGTATTAAAAAAAGACTTTCAAATCACAAAGTTTCTACATGAAGGTTTCGCATAGTTGTACAAATCTTTATTATGAGATAGTAAGTCCTAATATCTCATAATTTGGAAAAAAATGTTATTAAGAGGGGAGCGCTTACACTTTTTAGTTGGTAGATTTTTCTTCCATGTTTTCTCTGAATGTGAGCTTGTTGGATTTCTGTCACGGACAAAGCGGATGTCGGGAGCCATTTTGTTTTTGTCTGCAGGAAATCAGCGAGTCGCTTGTCCACCAGCAAAACTAAAAACACTCATTTATATTTCTGTATTTTCTGATAACTCATAGTTAAGGTTTTTAGAAAGTGGTGGTAGCTAGCTGCAGCTCCTTTCTTTTTGCTTTTGTAAAATCATCCATCAATGCATAGTCAAGGGTTACGTGCGTAAATTAGGCCCTATACTATGGAAGCCTATATATGCCACAATTATGAAATACTTTACTCAACACCTTTTTTTGTTAGACTTGGGGTTTTTGTATTTAATGTTCCCTGTTTTATTTTTAAATGTATTTTCTCTTTGTGTCTCTTCCAGTTTTACTTCCTGTGTTTCCACGCCTGTGCCTGATTGTGTTCACCTGCTGCCCCTGTGTCCCCCCACCCTCCAGCTGTGTGTTGTCTCTGTGATTAGGCTTGTATGTATTTTGGTTTGTCTTCCCTTGTGTTCTTTGTTATATCGTTGTCTATGTTCCTGCCTGTTTCCCCAAGTTGCTGTCTGCGTTTCTGCTCCTGTTTCTCATGCCCTCTGGTTTCTACTTGTTTATTTTGTTCTTCGTTTTTGTTGTTTTGTTTTACCTGGTCCGTGGCCTGTACTACGAAGCCAGTTCAACAGACCCTGGATATCTTTGAGTTATCTGGCTTAACTAACCATAACAAACAAGATCTCGCTAAGCGGTCCTACGATGCTGGTTATCAACTCAGTAACTCAACCCAGGGTTTCTCTGTCCGGCTGAGAGCGCGTTCACGTGAAAGAGGCGGGGTTAGCAACATTTGACCAATCACAAACATGGACAAGTCTACTGACAGTGCATTGACATACTTCATGATTGAATAGTAAACTATCATGTTAGACAAATATGAAGAAGTTAAACTTTAAACATCCATGACTTAAACACTTAATCCAGGATAAAAGCCACATAGTTGCACCTGCAAGGTGAATACAGAACAGCGCTTCGTCAACTTAATGTGTTGCTTAAAATAATACTTCTGCCTACAGTATGTGTCACTGTAAGTGTTGCACAGCCAGATACGGCTCGAGAAGCTGACTCAGATAAGGAAGTATGTGATATGATGTGATTGACGATGTGATATGAATGTGGCGGACTGTAATGTTACTTTGATCCGGTTACTTATGTTGTGGCAGATATTTAAGCTTTCTTAACGATAATGTAATAATAGTGAGATTGCTCAGAAGATGGGAGGTGATATTCTATTCATTCATAGAATGTATTTCCTCTATCCTGTAATATGACTTGATAGCTTAAAACTCCGCACAATGAGCTCTGATTGGTCAGCAGGCAAAGCTTTCACTGAGTTGATCTCTTAACTGGAACATAATCTTCTCCGGAGCAGGTTAGGTGTTCAGCATAAGTTAACTTGGAGATCTACCCCAGTAAGAAGTGAACCAGCGTCGTAGGCCCGAAAACCCAGAATTAACCCTGAAGTTACCTCGCTAACCGCAAATCCTGCTTCGTAGTACAGGCCACTGGTCCCCCTCTTTGTATCGGGTTTTTAGCAAAGCCTTTTGTTTGAACTTTATTACCAGCTTCCTGTGTTTTACTGTGTTTTGGTACTATCTGCTAGTTAATCCCTTACAGTACTAAAAAAGGAAACCAAAAAACCCCAAATCATGACATATTTTTACTTTTGTAAATGTTTCTAATAACAGAGGGTTTGGGGGTAACATGTACTTTTTCTTATCAGAAATTATAAAGATTGAATGGTTTGTGACTCATTCAGAAAAAAAGTGAATTCAAGCAATTGTCAAGTGAATTTGAAACCTTTTAAATGGCACAAAAAAAGAAATGTGAATTAGGCATGTTGCTCCACGTCATGCAACGTATTCCAGATTTAAAAAAATGTAAGGTGTTTTTTTATACAGCAACGCGTCTTAGTATCCGCTCATTACATAAATACTGTCCTTTCAAAATAAACCTCCATCTTCTACATCGCACAGTTGAGGAAGTTTTGTTGAATTTCTCTTCTTTTTCACAGCTTTCTAATGCGATACTTTAAAAAGGGCAAAATCTTTTGAATGGAAGCACGGCTATTTTGGCGGCCATTTTGTGTCCCTTCCTCAAACTACATTTTCGAGTGTCAGAGAGATTAGAGAGACGTTTTCACTTAATTGTGACCTTGTTTCTCATAATTTATATTATGAGAAAATTATTTCATGATTAAAAGATTTTCGTATTGTAATTATGAATCTGTTTTGTTATAAACATTGAAAAAACAAAGATCTCATAATAATGATAAAACCTCATCATTACCAATACACAGGTTTTTTAATAATGAAAATAATGTATTATAATAATTAGATATAGATCTTCAATATGAAAAATAAAGGAAAATATATATGAATATTTTTCAGTATAAGTTTCAAAGTCACAATCAGGAGAACACGTCTCATAGTTTTGCTCTTTGCTGATTATGAAGAGGTACAATGCTGTTCAAACGGTTCACATGTGAATTTAAGAAAAAAGTTTTCCTCGTTGACACAATGTTTTTTGACTGAGAGGAAATATTGATTTGTTTAGAATAGATGAATCTGCAGACAGATCAGCGCAGTAGAAAGTGTAGCAGAAAGCTGTTGGTGTATCGTCAGTGAATTATAACCTCTGTATGACTTTTATATACAAAACAACTGTAGATTATCTTTATTTCTATTATTATAACAAGCGAGTGTTGAGATAAAAGGTTTCATCACTTTTTCATTTTCTTCTTCTTGGTATTTACTATATGTCCTCTACAGTTTTTAATAAAATCCTGCACACAAACTGTAGTCAAACTGTCAAGTAAATCTTTTGTTAATGTTGCAAAAAAGGAAATGAAATTAGCCATGTTGCTATACCTTTTGCAACATGTTTGGTTAGAATACGTACACATTTTTTGTTTTTCATGCGTTTTCCTACGAATATACAGAAACACGTCTTAGTTTCTGCTCGTTATATATAGACTGTCCTTTCAAAATAAATGTCTGTCTAAACCACTCGTTTAGGGTAAGAAAAGTTTGTATTTTGCGTTGAAATAACATCAGAAGTGGCGCTACTTCATTATGTAAGTTACACATCGGGCGACTAAACTATGTTCACACATTTGAAGAAGTTTTGTTTAATTTTCCTGCCATTTCCATACAGCTAATGCAGAATTTAAAAAAGTGCAGAACAATGTTAATTGAAACATTTTCTGGCAGCCATTTTGTGTCCCTTCCTCAAACTTCATTTGTGAGACCAGGAAAAGTTTGTGTTTTGGGTAAAATAACTTGCAAAGTGATGCTAATTATCTAAGTTATGCATCACACAAAAAAACTATCTTCGCACTGTAGATTATTTTCATTTAATCCTACAAACTAGAAAATATTCCTTTTTATTTTCTGTATACCCATTTTTTTTAGGAACACTTAGTAAATGTATGCCATATGTGTGAACTGAGAAAAATGTAAAAGCCAATAATGCCTCAAGTGTGGCATCGGTTAAAAAAAAGACAATTTCACTATAATGAAATGTTATCAAATGGGCCGCCATGGATATATCGCGTCTAATGCGGCACGGGACCACATGCCGCATGTCACCCCCACTGTTTTCCCGCTTCAGTTTTATCTCTACAATAAAGGCAATGGTTGCACTAAAACAATCTTTAAAATAAAATAAAAAAATTGTGAAATGTAATAAAAAGACACGAGACGGGAAACAGGAGTACACTGAACAATCCTTTTCTTTATTCATTTTTTGTTATCATTTCAATATGTCTGTCAGGGTTTTTTTTTTTTCAAGTTTTTATTTTAAATTAAAATGTTGACACACTTATAAAAGACAGCATCTGCATAGAGTTGTCATCTTAAAGATCCATGAAGAGAGAGAGAGGGGGGGTTCAGAGAGAGAGAGAGAGAGAGAGAGAGAGAGAGAGAGAGAGAGAGAGAGAGAGAGAGAGAGAGAGAAGGGGGGAGAGAGATTGGGAGAGTGGTAAAGTAGGGGGGGAATACTGGCACGTCACATGAACTAAACAGAACAGCCAACAGCAGTACGAGAGAAGGGGAGGAGGGGGAGACAGGGCTGCAGGGGGGGGGGTATTTTTTAGAGGGGGGAGGGAGGGGAGGGGGGGACAGATCGCTTTACATTACGCTACGCACACATACACACACAAAAAAAACGGGACACAAGTTGCATTTCCGGTCAAAGTTGCGTCTGCAGAGCGATGGCCCTGCCCTCTTTTTTAGTTTTTTTAAATTTTGGAAATATTTTTTGCCGTCTCTTGCCTGCCATTTCCCCCCCTCTTTCTTTATTATCCATGCATCTGCTGGGTTTTTCATTTCATTTCTTTGTTGTTGCTCCAGGAGGTCTTAAACTGGATTTTGTTTTCTAAATCGAGTTCCTGCACGAGGTCCAGGGCCTTGAACGCCTCTGCATGATAAAGAAAGCCCTTTTTGTTTCTCTGAATATTGCACGCTTTGTTACGGTAGGCCTGTGTGAGGCTAGAGACCAGGGCCCGAAAGTCAGGAGGCGACTCGAGCACCGTGTTCCTCAAACACATCGAAGGCGTGACTCTGGTCTGAACTACATTCTGAAACCTGAAAGGTAAAAAACCAGAAGATCATTTTCTTTTCACGAACGCAAATGTAGCTTTAATCCAATTTCCTGTTTGCACTTTGACGCCTTTGAGAAACAGAAGCTCAGACCTCCTCCAGGAACTGGGTGAGAACTAAATGATGGAGCAACGACAGAAGACTGGGGTGGTTTGAAGAGTAACACGTGATGTGGTTTTAAGACCTTTCCCAAAAGCACTTTAAGGCCAATGATCTCCGCCCATTGACTTCCAATGAAACTGAGATGTTAGCATTAAAACGCTTCTCAACTGCAACTCAGGTGTTTCCATTGTTGTTGCACTTGTTGCTGTTAGCATGAAAGTGTTACGACAAAGATCTTTTAAAAGCGACTTCCTGCAGAATTTGAAATAGTGGGCTTGTTCGATGGGTATAAGCAACATGGCATCCATATAAACAAATTAGCCGCTACCTTGGAGCTGCTTACACTAATCATAGTCTGACGTGTAGTATTTCTCCGGATTCGGCTACTAACTGGCAGGGGACAAGTCTGGTGCATTTTTTTCTCTGGGGAACACGGCAGGCAATGAGATTTGTCGTTTGGCTAGCTAGCTGTGTTCGAGAGACTAAAAGTCAGACAGAGAGAGAGAAAGAAAGAGATCAGAACCCGCTAAGTGATCAGGGGCCGCGGGGTTAATTTTTCCTATAATGGAGGGAAGCACTTTCATCAGAGGAGCCAGTGGGTGGATCCTCCGGAGCTGTGGTGATGAGCGGTGGTGTGGTGGTGGCTGCGTTCAAGCCCAAAATTCCCGCGGATAAACAAGTTCTCTTCATTTCCGTCTAAATATATTCTGCCCTTTTTTTTCTAGACGGAACTAAAGGGCTCTTTAAAAAAAGACTGTGACAGTGCCTCTCGATGGAAAAACACGATTGTACGTATTTTCTTCCGCGGTTGGGCCTAAACGCAGCATGTGAGCTGAGCATGGCGGACGAACACGCTGGAAGATATGTTTTTCTGTCTCTCTGCTGGCGTCTCTCCCACGTGGAAAAAATCGAAGGGCTGCGGAGGTGGGGGACACGGAAGTGAAGGCGGGAAATACTTTTAGGGTGGGGGAGAACAAAAATGGCAAAAAGGACAGAGATCGAACTGCGTGTCAACTTTGACGGGAATAGATATCTCAGTAGATTTATACATAGACATGCAAGTCATTTTTTCTCTCTTTGAAGTTATTTACAATAATTACATAACACAAAGAATCCAGTTTCAGTTTGACAAAATTGCGAGCATTCAATATTCAATATTACTACTTATTATTTATGATAACATAACTCCTTTTGTACTTTTTTAAATCATTGCTATTATAGAATCGTCATAACCTCCCTTTTTAAAAGTTTAGATGTTTGATCACTTTGTGTGAAGCCGTTCGTTCTCCCTCTGGGTTTTTGCAAATGTTTTACTGCAATTAATTTGTCATTTATGGTAATAATCATAATAATAATATTAAGAATGATAATGATAATAACAATGTTTATTTAAGTGTCTTTCTTACTTGCTATGGCAGAGACCATGTGGGTCTATCTTCATGTCCCCCCCCCCTGACTCCTCCCTCCCCAAAAACACTGATTCCAAAGGAAATACTGTCTTGTACGATGGAGAATAGAAAGACATATGGGTGCAGCGTCAAAAGAAAATCATCAGAAACAACAATTAATATCACAGCTGACAACAAATAAACATTTTATCCTCCAGAGCAGGGCACTAGGAACAGGTTTTGGTTTTTGAAAATGTTTCAGGAAGACAAAAATCATCGTAGAGAAGAGTTTAATCGTCCGACAATTGAGGAACAAAAAGAAAACGCACCATTAACTTGAATCGTCGGTGTCTGTTGATAACAAACTTGGAAGACAGACACGCCTCTGCACACGTTGGGCAGATTCAAACTGAAGAAAGTTAATTTTTCAGAAATAGCCGCATTTAGCCCGCACACATTCGACCTCAAACGAAAGGAAGTCATTGTTCAATATGTGTGTTTGACAAAATGCCCATTTACTTCCACACACGATCTAATGTGGCTACCGGCTAATCAATCTTTGGAGTCCTTGTGTCGCACCCAAACTCTCTCTAGATGATTTTTTCCTGCTTTCTGCACCCCACCCTGACAGAAACTGTACACAGCCAGGAGAAGTGAATATGGCTACAGAGCCACATACACACAGTAATAGAAATGCAGTATGTTGATGTAAGATTCATATATATTTTCTTGTCTACATGTGACTACAGATGACAATGCTGCAGTCCTCTGTCACACACAGGAAAATGCTCACTGAAGGGTTTACTAGTCACAGTAAAACATCCATTATCTCTAGTGCACATGCACAATAATTTGGAAGCGGATATGCACATTAGTGTAAGAGAAACTATTTCATTTATGCAACATTATTTGCCAACGATAGCTGGTGGAAATCTGCTAGCCTAGTTTCTAAATCCCTGCAAAGAAATAGGACCAGTGTTGTGCTCATTGACCCCAGTTTGGGGGTCAATGAGCAGTCCATAAGATTAAGAATGCTGTCCAGGTTGTTGTAAGACAAAACACCTCTTAAACCAACTATATTAACTTTTACATCAAAGTGCAGTAGAGGTAATGAATCCTGCAGCAGAAAGAAATCGAGTAGCATTGTTAACTAGCACTGCTTCATTGTTATTTTTGTGGAAATTATTGACTAGTTAAGCCATTTAACTAGCCAGCAAAACCTTGCAGGGAAGCATTGATCCTGCAGTGTGCACACAGAGACTGATAAACAAGCTATACAGAAAATAACACCAAAATAACAAGAACTACAGCAATCAATAAGTAGAATAAGAAAGCACCACCATTGTCTCCGTAAATGCCTCAAAGTGGAGGAGAAGTTATGCTAACGTTTTAACAGATGAGTATGGGTCATTGTTTTTACACAAACTAACGTCTACAGGTGAAGGAGAAAGGGAAAGGGGTGTGGAGGCAGACATCATTGTTGTGGCGTGAGATTACTATTTTGTCAATGTAATGGTTGACAGACCAACATACAGTGAGGGCTGGTAGTGGCTGGGTGGCTGGGCTTTTATATTTGTATAGTTTCGGTTTAAATGAATTTTATCACCATTTGTGACGAACGACTCTGTGTAAACTTGACTCGTGTTGTGCTCTTTGATATTAGCGGCGAACCGTTTGAGAACACATGAGGGGAGGGCAAAAAACGCTTTGGTTTGAATTTGAACAAATACATAATAATAACAGTGATCATGACGTCCATACATATGTCTGATCTCTTCCCATCTGTCACAATTTTTTAAAACACGCAATGTGGATTTCATCAAACAGCTTCAACCCGTGGACCTGCGATCAGATGCTTCGCACAACAAAACAAACTCGTGCTGCTCCGAACAATCACAAACACACACACACATTCGCGCATTTAAGCACCAAACTTGTTTTACTGAAAAGGGAGGCATGCTGCACACACACAAGGCCAGGTGGAGGGGCAGCAGGAGGTCAGCCCATAGGCAAAGGTTTTTTACAATAATAAATAGTTGAGGGGACGATTCCTCCACAAAAAAACAACACAAATGCAAACACAGATCAGTTGAGGTGTGTAAGGTGGGTTGGCGGTTGATGTGGTGGGGAGCAGGATGGCTGAAGTCGAGGGTATTTGAAAATGGAGCCTTTCACATTTAAATATCAACTGCTTCTTAAACACCCTAAAAATACAGTTACTGTTCCAACAATGTTACAAACAGAGCACACGTGAGTTTAGATTGAAAAGAAAATTGAGAATGCAGATTAAGAAGGAGCAAGTAAAATAGTTAGCTCACAAGCTAACCAAAGTCAGGTCCATGAGCGGTAAAGTGCACGACATGGAGGGCAGGTTGGGGGTGGGGTACAAAAAACACCATCATGCAAACTCCACAACGCTTTTGCATGCCTTTTTTTTAATTATTATTATTATTATTATTATTATCATCATTATTACACACAACGGGTTGGGCAGGGTCTGCTGGGGCGGGGAAGGCGCAGACTCCCAATCCTCAACATTGTCTTTTAGTACAACCAAACAGCTACAACACAAACAGGAAGAGGGAAGACAAAAGGACAGGTTGGGGGATGAAAACTCGGACAAACTACCTAACCTTCACAGAGTTGTTTAATTATGGTTTTCCGATGTTTGTCCGTTTTCTCTTTCCCAAGAGGAATGGCGGCTGACTTTACAGAAAACACACACACAACCAAAAGACACGCCCATACACACATACGGCAAATACACTTTAGTGTCATCAAGCTGGCTGGTGCTACGACGGCATCCTTTTTTTGCTGATTTTATATCCACCGCCAAACCATTGCAAGACTAACACGACGACCGTGACGTCGACCATTGAGAACACGTGATTGAATCTAATATTGTGCAGCTGACATGATGATTTAACGAAGAATGGTGAAATGTCAATCAAATCCCTCAATACATGCCTGACATTTCCAAGATGAACCACTAAAAAAATCCAAAGACACCAATCATACTTGTGTTTGATTTACACACATTATTTGATATCCATGTATGGACAGTGTCTGCTCTACAGTCTAAAAAACACTTATAAAGACAATGCCATGAATGTTTCAACAACAAAACAGCAGAGAAAAGTGCTAAATTCTAAATCTACTGACAATTTATTGGAACCAACATCTATTGGATTTTGCTGCTTGGAGGGGTGATTTCTAAGCTTTGGTGCACAAAGAAGTTTTGGTTTTGGGAAGAATAAAATGAAAACTCCCACTTCCACTCTTCTCCAAACCTCGCTCTTCATTTAAAACTAGCGACTAGTAATACAGTATCTCAGACATCTAGAACTAACAGCGCTATTAACTTTTATGACTTCCAAGAAAACACACGATATATTCAACAAAGCAGTGAGAACTTCCTTAGTGTCTACACTTTGCCTTTGGCAGCAAGAAGTACTGTTAGCTGGGACAAAGAGGCTAACGTGATAAACAACGCACACTTCCTGTCATAGCGAAGATTTCCAGAGCAAGAGAGTTGCAAAGGTATTTGTTTTCAATCAATAGAACCAGATATTATCCTTTGATTCCTTGAAAGGACTTTTACCAAACGTAACAACACTTTGCAACTGTAAACCTCGACATTGGGGTGACAATCAAGACACACAAAGCTAGCTAGCTAGTTACCACTTTTTCTGTAATATAAATGTTAATTTCTACAAACTGACTTTATTGCTTTGACACTGAGTGTAGACTTATTTTGTGGAATGTAAGGTGGTATTTGTTACCCTGTTTGGGTCACACCTACGTTCCCATGGCCCTATGTTCTTGATATAAACTAACATTGTAAGGGATCGGTAAGGGCTATCGTCGCAGTTCAACATTCAAAAGATTGAAGAGAGATGGATGGATAGGTAACATTTCATTCAGCCACTGTGGAGGTAACAATATCTTAAATTGAGCTGGGGGCCATAGGACCTTTGGAACTTATTTTCTTCCTTGGAACATCCAGGGTAAGCCTCAACAGAGACGAAGGTACCTACGTATCGCAGAGCCTTCACTCAGACAAACCTTCCTCCTTTAAACCACCTCCTCCAGTCATTTTCAACACAACCGTGTGTCCAGGTTAGGGCAACACACACATTCACTTCTCAACACAGACCACACTTAAGAAACAAAAACATGCTTGTACAAAACTACAAATGCATGTTGTCCCAATCTAGAGCAGTGTCGAGGTTGTCTTCTCCAGCAGACGTGCTGCTAACAGCTATTGCTAACGCTACTGTAAATATAATTTAAATAATTTAATTTCTGTATATTGCTACACCTTAGTGAAGGAGCCAATGGAAAGCAAAATGCTCTACTTAAAATTAAACTAGTTTGACCAAATAATCTAACTAGCATTCTACAATCATCGGCAGATTGATTATCTTTGCAAAATTAGTTAGCTAGTTAAAAAGTTAGTAAGCGTGTTGAGATTATTTTGTCAAACTACTATTTCCAAGATCAAGAATCAACTTCCCGTATTATTTCTTAGGTCCCATTCTTTCCCCAACACTGGTCTGAACACACGGAAAGTGTCTTAAAAAAAAAACTCCAACTAGCAGCTCTACATGATCTATACGTAACACGAGCTAACACTATTGCATGCTAAGTGACAAAGTCTAACACTAGCACTGGCATGATATGTAACACGGAAATGTGAAATGTTAGGGGGAGTATATCCAGTGTGTCCTGTGTGTAAAATGTATACATCAGAGGTGTTCATGCAAGTGAGTTTGTGTGTTTGTGTGTCACATGTTCCACCTTCCACAGAGGAAATTCCCCAGTAGGAAAAGCCTCTCCTGTTTAGTAGCACCGGTGCAACTCAGGCATTAAAATGTTGTGAATCACATTTCACAAACCTCAAACACACACTCAGGCATGAGGTGTAGGGATGCAGGGAGGAAACAGGTGAATGCATCAAACCATACAGACTAAACAGTAACCGCTAAATGATGTCAGGCCGATACGTCACGGGACACGTCACGCACGCACTAAAACAGCAGCACAACGAAGCAACAAACGTTCCCCATGAATAAAACAAAAACGCAACAATAATACCACGACACTCAGGTAACCAGGGCACGCCAGCATTTTTAGAGTTTTCCGAAATGTTCATCTCATTTGTTTCATAATGTTACGTTTTATTTCATTTTTCTTCTTTACTTTTTAATGTGTTCTCTTCATTTTTTAGAATCATCCGGAAGAACAGTTGTGACAGCTTGGAGATGACACTGGCTTTGACTGCGATATTTCTACAGTGATCAGTGTGATGAGCCTTTTGGTGCGGTAACGTGAACCTCGATCCTTATTGGCTATCTTGGGTGGGGGAGGCGGGACATGTCGTCTTCCTCTTATCTAAACTGCATAGATTGACCGTCCGTCTCCTCCCACCCTCCTTCAAGCCTTCCTTCTATTACACCCCCGTCCTTCCCACCGTTCACCTGTCAGTCAAACAACAAATGTTCTAGTCAAATTCAGCAAAACAACAGAGGCCCGCCCTCCCCCTGCTCTTTGGTTGGATAGATGTGACAGGACGGGGAGGTTTTTGTATTGGAAACCTGCCACATTGCAATGACACCCCTCACTGGCGCACATTGTGTGTCACGCTCTTTTCTTCATGTGTTATAAATTGGGTGTGGCAGGTCGGGCTATGCCAGTCTCAACTAATTTCATAATAGGCTGACTAGGGTGAATGACAGGAGTGAGCAACCAATGAGAGGTGGTCTAAAGAGTGAGGTTGGTCCCTCCCTCTCAGAAACAAGGGGACATAGTTGGTTCTACCAAAGCCAGCGGATGCGTGTCTTTCGGGACGGCATTCTGGAACACTCAAGCGATCCGAAATGCTCCAGCATTACTGACAGCGTTTTCATAACACTCCAGCATTACTGACAGCATTCGGAAACTAATCTGTTCAGGAACCTTTTGTTCTAGAATGTAGCGCAGAGTTCCAGAGCTCCACAAAGTTCTGACGGAGCCGATAACATTTATCTCCTTCAGAGTTGAAAGCCCTCCAGTGGGGCAACACAAGCACATTTATTAAGAATGTGTTCGTTGACGTTTTCATAACGTACTCTGTTCCAAAACCACTGCTGGAAATACAGATAGGAAATGAACAAACAAATGTTCTTGAATGCTCGTCCCGGAGAACTCACACCCAGAAGCAAGTCACCATTACTGTCCTTGGAGACTCCCGAAAAAAGAAAGAAACTTAAAAAAATAAGAACAAAAAAAGGCAAAACAAGTAAATGTCATATTCTAGGTCATCATTTTTTACAGGTAGCTAACCCACGTGTTGCTTCATATGTTCAATACATTTACATGTACAGCTGTAATAAATAGTAGGTTTATTTGCACCCTCTTTTGTATGCGTTATGTATTTAGGTCAGCTATAATGTGATGGCATTTTTATTGTGTTTTTTTTGTCTTTGTTTTTTGAACCCCACCCAACCCCATGGTGTTTCCTCTTATCAGTGATTGGATTGTTATCTCTCCCTAGCTGATTGGTTATCTGTCTTGCATTTGTGTTTCAAGTTTTTGTGTTGTTATCGTCGGTGTTTCTCTTCTCTGCTGGCGGTCAGACGGTCTGTCGTGTCGGTCGTCACACCGGCAAGAGGCGGAGCGTCTTAGAAGCCAAGCGTGCCGCCGATGGTTGACGCCAGGACGACGCCCAGGATGACACAGCAGATGATGATCATGATCTTCTTCTGCAGGAAAAAAAAAGAGATGCAGATCTGTGAATAATTTTTCTTTGCGGGAATGTTTTCTGGAATTTGCAGATCTTTCCGCATGAAAAAAGTGGTGCAGGGGCGACTCGTGTTTTAGTCCTACCCTAAAGTTAGCATTAGCCTGGTTTGCTCCACAAAGAGACTATGTGATTTTACCTGTTACAATTTGGATTATTGAAGAAAATAGGATGTGTGGCATACAAACGTTTGTTAATAACAGTGGCGAACCGTGTCTATCACAACTGGACCTTCTGTAGACACACACACACCTCCCCCCCATTATAATGTCCGTCTTTTCACTAAATTGTCGTCTTGAAAAGGGTACTGACAACAATTCCGCAAAATTATCATCTTCACTTGTTGCCATTTCAACGTTAAAAACAATAAAACGGCATGAATTGCTTCGTCGCATTCATCTAGATCCTCTGTCTCGAGCCAGTTAACTAGCGGGCCTTCTAGAGTACCCTGGAACCGAGGGAAACTCTGAAAGAACACGCCCATTGGTTACAAATCAATATATGATTGGTTGATCAAACTGTCAGTCCAAACGTACGCTCTCATTCAGTGCAACGGCCAGGGCATTCTATCAAGGATGTAGAATACCTTGGTTGAAGGATATTCTACCCAGAGACCCAGAACAAGATCTGATTGGTTGCATTTCTTTTCTAACACAAAACCACTGAAATGCGTAGTGCATGGTCCGAGAAGGACAAACAAATCAACGTAACACTGTAATATTACAGATCAACAACACAGATACGATTCTCATTTATTCATTTAAAGAGCAACTTGCAGGTTAGAGACACCAGTGAATAAATGTGTAGGAAAATGATGTATACACTAGATTTTCAAAAATATATACAGAAATATACACTACAGTGACATCTGGCGTCGTTTTTGTAAGACATTTTTACTTCCGCATTAAAAAAGCCAAACAAGACGCGCTGGCTCGGGAGCTACAACTACAACAAAATGAACATATTTTACCGTGATTAAATTGTAATACACGTTTCTAAATGATGCCGACGTAACAACATACTGATGCCGATTAGTAAAAACCATGAATTAATGCTTTGACAAGTCTGCAGACAGACGGCAGGCGAAAAACCTTTTAAAATGCTTGTTTTCTGAATGGAGATTGGGTCGACCAGGCTAAGCTAACGTTGTATATGCTCACTCCACACTCATAACAACGGCCTACAGACATAAATAAACCAGCGACTGTATTCGCCATGACACAGACAGTCTGTGGTTTGTTCTTGTTTAACTTTTGTACAGTTTCTGAACAGATATGAGGAGCTGTGATCTCTGTGCTAACTGCTAACAGCTAATGGCTGATGTTTTCTGGTTGAACGTCAGTGACGGCAGGCTGAGATCCTCACCGCTGATTGGCATCCGCGAGAACGCGTCACGTGAATTTGACGCCTGAGTTGAAAAAATGGAACTCTCGCGTTTGACGCGGCCCCCTTCAATCGCCTCAATCGCGTGATTCGCGCCGCGTCCACCGCTTCATGCTCGCCTGATCACGTCTCTGCATTGACTTTACATGTAATCGCGCCGCCCCCAAACATCGCATCGCGTCCGGTCTGAACGCAGCATAACAGTTAGCTACATAGCTAGCAGTGAGTGAGCGTTCAGACATCGGCGCACACACTCAAACGGACTCGTGTGCCTGACTCTACCAACAGGCTTTCATGATTCTGTTTAGATATGCAAGTATACGCCATGATAGCTTATTTTATTAACACGCTCATTTGATATGAAAATCAATGGAGGCTGAGTTAACTTTGTAGGAAAACCTACCGTCCATGACTGCCCCTGAGCTGTGTTTTATTTGTTAACTTCATATTTTTCATTTCCTAAAACATTATTTTCCTCTCATATTAACAGTGTGGATCATTCATCATATCATCATATCACCATCGTGGTGTGGTGTTTTCCCACTTCCACTGAGGGGACAGCACAGAGGGGGGGGCATGAGAGACCTGCACCAGCTTCATCCACGCGTTGTTATCACTGGCTCAGTGTCATTTCATTTGACCAAATGTCTTTACATTTAATAGATTTTATTATTATCCACCTTTTAGTTGTATGTCCTTTTATTTAAAAGATTCTGAGACTTCATCTTCCGGTTCAAATTTCAATAAATGTAATTTGTATAATCACTCTTTTGTCTTTATTCTACATGAACATGTTAGAGATTCCATTCAAATCTGTTGATTATTCATATGTTCCTCAGGCTAGGAATAGTATGTTGAGTTGTTAATGCTAAATGTATATCATTTTCTCACAGGATATAGAATGAGACAACACAGTTTGTATCCATTGTGTATGAATGCTTCAGCTCTTCAGACCAACATAGTAAGATGTGAGCATGTTCCTAATTGTGTTGGTATGCAGCCTAGGTCTGCTCTGTTTCATAAAGCAAATCTGCCACTGTTATATTGTAGAATTTGTTAAATTAAATCAGTCTTTAATTGTTTGTCCTAAACATAGCAATATATGCTTTTGAAATGTAACATGTCTTTGAAAAAATAATAGTATACAGTTTATATTGTGTATCACCTTTAGCTTGAAAATACATAGATGTGTTTTTTTAATCTATAAAATAAATAGACAGACACTTTATCAATCCCAAATTGGGAAATTATTGAACAGCAGCAGTGTGTTCAGGTATTAACATATTTAAAGTTGGAATAAAGTATGAACTACACAACACAAGTATAATGCACAGCACGTTAGTGTCGGTGCCTCCTGAGTAGCCAATGGGGACGCACCCCTGAAAGTCCCATCTGTAAGAGAATATTTTAATCTGATCTGTTTATAGAGTTTCTTATAGTTTCTTAGATTCTGTGATACTGCAAACATGTGTTTGTGGTATCAGTCAAAGACTCCTCTGTAAGTTGAGGTCACAGGTCAAACGCTTCTCCCATATCCTGTGGGGGGAAGGTTTCAGGCTTGTCTGCGTTCCCTTGAGACAAGTAGATTATTGTCTCCCATCGGCTATTGATTAGGTAAACGCGGGCTTCTGTGGGCCCGCCTCTCCTCGTGGTGCTAGATGTTTTGTGGCTTTTGGAGCAGAGATCATGATGGTGGTGCACAGGACAGTGGGAAACTAAGATGATCTCCCGGCCGTAATGTATTAATGTACTGTGTTCAATAAAACTCTCAGTGCTTTGGCTAAACGACGTTCCAGACTCCTTCATTCTACCTCAACATTGCAACAACAGAAGTTTATCTTCACACCGCCCACCTGGGATGTTTGTGTCAAAATCTCAAACAAAAAATGAGGGAGCGTAAACGAGAAGAGCTGCAGCGAGAGCAAAAGTCTGATCATTGAGAAAGAAGAAACAAGAACTGCAAACAAAAACCTATGTTAAAACAAAGAACAAAGACTTATAGTTTACATGATTACACAAATGATTTGTTTGCAACTTATAGTTTTATTTTTGAAATGTATTTTATTTTGCTTGACTCCTTTTTTTTTCTTTTAAACTCATAGTTTTGCTTTATTCTGAAAAAGTGTTGCTTTATCTTTATGATACAAAACTAATCCCATAGCCTCGATGATTGGGCAGAGAAGGAGTCAGATAAAGTTGCTCCCCCATGTGACGTAATATGACGCGTTTGATGTATGACGTTAAAAAAAAGCAGTTTTTAGTAGCAGAGCTCAAAACGGCTCCTTTCCCTCTGAATTCCTGCCCTTATGTCTTGTAAAACATATCAAATCCTGCATTAACTTTAATTGTAATTTTCAGGCAAGGTTAAGCATAAATGTAATTTTAAAAAAAATCTGCAAGTTGCTCTTTAATTTATATTCTATTCAAATGTATTTATATAATTAAATCGATTTTTTGTTTGTTTTATCTGAGTGTTCCAGGGTATTCTCTGAACACCTTGAAGGCCCTGACGGTTCACCTCTGGTTAATAAGAATAATCAGGTTAATCTCCCTGAATCATCAAAGGTTAAATGCTAACGTTAGGCTAAAATGGGACTATCTCATGATCACATGATGTCTTGTCACTCTAAGCTAAAGGCGGTTAATATTTGGCATGATGACTTTTAGTGTTCTCATTTAGCCACTTGGTGGCAGTTGAGTGGTGAATTTACATGTTGTAGAGCAAAACGTCACTTGACCAGGCCTCTTTTCAGGCATCTAACAAAAACCCAATTGAAACAATGGAACAGGAAGTGCTAAGGTGCTAACCCGTTCTTGGTTTTAGGGCTCGTTCCTGCAGCATGCTAAAGACACAGTTGTTATGTTTTTCTGATGAAAATGTTACCTTGCGGGCCTGGCTCTGGTATTTGACGGCCTTCTTGGTGTCGGATACGGCTCGCTCCACGTAGTCAACGGAGTGTTCAACGTTGTACTCAATTCTGTCAATCATCTCTCCCTAAAAACATATGTATACAGTTTTATAGAAGACTTCCAAACAATGCTGCACATACTTCCCAATGTCACATCACAAACCTGGCTCTCGACCAGCATGGCCATGTCGACGAACATGTCGTGCAGCTCGCGGATGCTGTTTTCCAGCTTGATGATCTCGGTGTGTCTGGTCTCGATCTCATTCAGAGCCTGCTTGGTCATCTGAGAGTCCATTTTGATCTACAGGTTTTACCACAAACATTCATTTATACTGACATCTTTAAAGTGAAAGAAAACATCAATTGAATCAAAATAAAATAAACATACATACATATACATGCTTTTTATAGGTAATAAAAGCACTATACATTTGGGAACATATTAATAAAGCCTCTTTAAAATCAGACCTATTGATATCCAAGTATAATGTTCAAAATGTAAAGCCTCTTGATTTCCAAGTCTTTAAAAGTGCTTAAAGTTCAAACTTGTTGATATTCCAGTCTTTGAGAATGTTTAAAGGTAAAAACCTGCATGAATCCAAATCTTGGATAATTTATAACAGTACAAACCTGTTGATATCCAAGTCTTTAATAATGTTCAAAAGCAAAAATCTGTTGATATCTAATGTTGGATAATGTATCAAATTCAAAATACTGTCATATTTAGGAATATATTCATAATGCTAATGTATTGTGATATACTAGTGTTGATAACTGTGACATTAAAATTGATTTTAATAGAATTTAAATAATATACACAAAATCATGTTTTACCCACACTTGAGTTTTGAGTGCAATCAATTTCCCAAAAATATGAATTTACCGATCCGATCATAGGGTGGGTGGGGGCTATGGGGATCTTCCATTTAAAGTGATGTTTAAAACTCAGTTAATGGGGCTCATTTTTATATTGCTTCAGTTTATAATCGTAACGGATCGAAAAATTCAGATACATTTTACAATAAATGTTTGCGCTTCCACAAACAACCAACAACATAATTATTACCTTTACCTCTGCCACATCAGAGATGCATTACATTAATGCACACAATGTTCATACTCCTTTCTGCACATATTCTTATTTCACATGTCATAGTTTATATTCTAAAATTCATTCATAGCATTCTATTTCCATTTAAATTACTGCTGTATTACATTTGTATTGCTATTTAACTGTATTTTATTACGGTGTAAAATATTTTTTGTTTTATATTAGATTTCTTGTTTTTTATATTTTATGTATGCCTATGCACCATGACATCAAATCAAATTCCTAGTATGTGCGAACCTACCTGGCAATAAACCTGTTTCTGAAGTACATTATTCAAGTTTACATTAACTTTGGTTAATAACACGGGAGAAATGCTCTCTCTCTCTCTCTCTCTCTCTCTCTCTCTCTCTCTCTCTCTCTCTCTCTCTCTCTCTCTCTCTCTCTCTCTCTCTCTCTCTCTCTCTCTCTCTCTCTCTCTCTCTCTCTCTCTCTCTCCTCTCTCTCTCTCTCTGTCTGTCTCTCTCTCTCTCTGTCTCTGTCTCTGTCTCTCTCTCTCTCTCTCTGTCTCTCTCTGTCTCTCTCTCTCTCTGTCTGTCAGTATCTCATGCAGCTCGCTGATCCAGCAATGAGTGACCCGACAGTGAAGAATAAACATATATGTATAACTAGTTTATCTCACCGGTCCGTCACAGCGGGTGGAGCAGCAGGATTTCTGCTTCACACACGTTGCATAGCGCTATTTTATTGTCTTTTTATGACACCAAAAACTGCCTGACTGGTGAAGCCATTTTGGCGAGCTTGTTTTGCCGCACACAGAGAAAAGTGTCATGTATTTTAAGTCATCTGATCGGCTCTCCCGATCGGCCTTTATAGAGAGCACCGATCACACTATTAAGAGTGAATATCGGCCGATAATGATCGGCATTTCTAATTCTTAACATCAAAATCTGATATTGCGACCCTAAGTGCAGTAAGTAAACAAAGTCAATGAGATTTTCAAAGTAACATATTTGGGGTTGATATACGCAGTTTTGGAGGTTTAAACCAGTTTTCAGTATTACGCTAAAAGTTAAGTTGGTGTAAAATGTGGTGCTGACTTGGCCTCCAGTTTCTTCTGACATTCAAAATGTGCGACTAACTTACCTGTCTGTAGAGTAACTTAACACCGGCTGTAAACCTGTTATTGACTGAGGGGCTCAGCGTGAAATGTGAAGATTTCCAGCGCAGTGTTAAGTTACAGACCTGATCACAACCATCAGATCAATCTGCTCGGGCCAGAGGTAGAGGTGCATGCATGTTCTAGCTTTTATTTTGAGCGAGCCAGTAATTCATGTTTAGTTGACTCGTCAAAATAAAAGCTTCCCAGTGCATCATCCTATTGTTACATGCCATGTGGCAACGGCCGTGTTCACTTGATGTTTCAGCGCACCTCATGGCGATTCTGCATCCCAATTAAAACTGGTGAGGGGACGCAGAATGGCTCAGGCAACAGTGAGGCTCAGGTGCGATGCTTACATCATCCGTGAAGATGGCCAGCTTGCCACTCTCCAACATGTCCTCTAGTTCTTCATTGGTGGTGGTCCTCCCAGCTGCAGAGAGAAAACAGAGAGGGAACTGCCATTTATGCTCATTTCTTTTGACCAGGTCTTATTTGCAAAGCTTGGGAGAAGAGTTGACTATTTTGATAAATAACAATAAAAAAAGAAACTGGTGTCTTGTAAAACCATGAAGAAACTGCACTTTGTGTGCCTACTGTATATGTATATTAGTTTTTATAACTTAATTAATTGAAATATATATTTTGTATTCTCATATTTTGTATTATCTTTTGGTATATATTTCTTTCTTATATACACTTTATTTCATAATATTCTTTTTCAGAATTTAGCTTATGTTACCCTTAGTTTCTCTTACTGTGTTTACATGTATGGATAAATACAAATTCCTTGAATGTAAAACCCGAGAAAACTCTAAATCACATTGACGTTACATAACATGACATATTTTAAATTGACTGTGGAAAGTTTATAAAAACAGATTTGACCTTATTAGTTCACGAAGACATCTGTATCTCTCTTTCTTATAACATTTAGATTTTCTCTACAGTTTTCTGATCTTATGAGCCTGTTCACCTAATTTGATATGAATGGCATTTTATGAAGACATCGTCTGAGGTTAATTGAATCGTATTATCTCATGAAATATAATATTTTAATTTAATTTTGTAGCTTGAATTAAAGCTGCTTTTGTCTATTCATGTGGACATTTGAACCTTGGCTAACCCCCCTAAATTATTGTTTAATAAAGGCTCATCTGATAAAGCTAGATTTAAATAAACGTAGTTTGCTTTTGTTTTTAATCTGTTACAACATGTTTGATGGAAATAAATGTTTTCTCTGTTCAGCATTTAAAGTGTATGTTGAATATTGTGTGTACTGAGTATAACAGTCATGTAATGTGTGTACTCACTGATCTCCCTGCTGTTACCACACTTTGTATACGTTTTGTACTGGATGTATTAGTTGTGTAGCGGTTGTACTCACTGATCTCCAGCTGTGTGCAGTAACAGTACATGGTATATTGTGTAGCCTACTGTGTATGTGAGTTGTGTACTGCGTGTACTCACTGATCTCCAGCTGTCTCTGGATGCGGTCCTTGCAGCGGTCGCGGTACTTGGACTGCGTGGTGTTGTACTCAGTCATCACCTCCACGAACTTGCGAGACAGCGTCGAGTGCTGCAGGTTATCAAATAATTAAAACACGAAACATTTAAAGTCATCAAATCAGACTCTGAGACACTTGGGGCGACGATTTTCTGGCATTTGATACACCAAACAAACAGTCAATATATGATGAAGACAGTTTCAGGCCTGAAGAAACAGAAACCACGTGACACATTTCTGAGCAGCAGCCACCAACCAAACAGATTTCTGAGGATTTAACAAATAACACCTTCATTTTTATCTTAGCTTTTAAACACAAACACATAATGAGTAATATGTAATAATTATACATAATCAGCTCCAAAATCCCGAAATATTTTAGAACACAATTGTCTTTAAAAGCCTCTAAAATACAGCTGCTTTTCTTCATTTTATATCATATTAAAGTGAATCTTTGGATATTTAGAGCCTTCACCTTGGACATTCATGAGCTGTAATTAACATTTTTATATATTTTCTCACAGTTCTCACCATTGATCTATAAAATAATCTGCATTAGTTAATGATGAAAATAATCAAAGGAACAGGAACTGCCCTTATTCTTGCTCCTTTTGTACTTCTACTTTATTCAAATTACTTCAAGGATTATTTTTTCATTATTAAATTGTATTATTACAATAAAACAGATTGATTTTCTTCTGATCAACATTATTACTATTTTTTGTTTGTGTGTGCGTGTTGTATAAGATTCTGCAGTTCTCCTCTTATCCACCAGGGGGCAGACTGATGGTGGGAGCAGCCAATGACAGAGCAGGATACTGTAGGGTCACAAACTGCATCCTCTTACATCTGTGTGTGTTTTAAACTCAGCTGTGTGTTATTTTCTTTAAGTCACAGCAACTTAATATATCAAAGTCTTTCTCGTAAAATCAGTTAACCAAAGGTGAAAATACATTACTATTTCCTTTTATAACTATCATTTATTAAGAGTGAACTCTTTATTAAGAGTGAATTTGTTTAGATTAGTAGATTTAGATCTTCGTTTGACAACAAATTCAAGTGGGCAGAGAAAATCTAAATCTTTGTATTCATTCATACATACTTAATTGTGCTCCTTGTTTCCCAAGCTTAAGGCCTTTTATAATTAAACTATACTTGGTCTGTTTTTTTCTAAAATATAATAAATTATTGAAATTAAAACACCTTGCTTATAGTATGAGCTTGGACATGAACAGAGAACACACAAGTTAAATAATTTTTTTTAACAAAATGTGTTTAAAGCAGAGCTTTTTGTAAAAGTGTAATAAAAAGTCTGACCTGTGTCTTGCGGATCCTGAGGTCAGCTGATGATCTGTTGAGCCCCTCCTCCTGCTCGATGCTCTGCTCGATTGCTGCGGGGAAATCACACTGGACATTTCAGTTCATGCTTTTATTTAGAAAATGTTGGATTGTAAGGTTTCTCTTATTTGCTTCCCTTATGTCAAATGTCTATAATGTAGTGCCGAGAGACGGGAGTCAGAGGCGGTGCATCGAAGGTACAAAGTTAGCTTTATTGAGCATCAGAAACACACATGTTGTCGGCTTGAAGCCCGGGAAGAGAAGGGGAAGAAGAAAGGGCACACAATAGGTACAGTCAACATATGTGTCCGTGCGGAACAATACCCCCAACCCGTAGTTCCATAAGTGAATTATGTCAATCAGTGATCACTACACAAGCCCCCCCAGAATTCAACCATGGACACAATCCTCACGTCCGGGAGGAAGCACCACAGGGGCAGAGGAGGGTGGGGCCGCAGGCGAGGCCATGGAACGGGCCGTCGGAAGGGGGCCGCAGGAGCGGGCAGGGGCCCCAATGAGGGCGAGGGCATCCCCACCGGGGGTGGAAGGCGGGCCATGGAACAGGCCGTCGAAAGGGGCAGGAGCAGTATCCCCGGGAGGCAGGAGCAGTATCCCCGGGAGGAAGGAGCCGTGGACAGGGGAGAGGCCAGACGGGGTCAGACGGGGCAACGTCCGAAGCCGCCGTCTAGGCGAACCATGAGCCGAACTGTGAGCCGCGGTTAGAGGAGAGGCCAGGCAGGGTCCAGAAGTGCGCCACCCAGGCACCGATGAAAGCGTGGGCGACGTCTGAAGCTGTTGCCGAGGCGAGAGAAGAGGCCGGACAGGGTCCCGAAGCGCACAACCCAGGCGCCGATGAAAGCGTGGGCGACGTCCGAAACTGTCGAGGCGAGGGGAGACGGGGTCCAGAAGTGCGCCACCCAGGCGCCGTTGAAAGCGTGGGCGACGTCCGAAACCGCCATTGAGGTGGTGAAACAGCGAGACAGTCCACACAAGGTCGACCAGACTTGGTCGAACCTCCTCTCAGGCACCAGAAAAAGCTCAAAAGGGTCGTCCTGTCCACTACCGAAAACAGGTGAGCGAAATTGTGAGAGGATCTACACGAGGCCGACCAGACTTGGTCGAACCTCCTCTCCGGCACCACAAAAAAGGGTTAACAGTTGGATGTTAACAGATGGATGAAGTCAGCCGTTAGCTGTCGTCGTTAGCCATTAGCTGTTAGCCGTTGGCCGCTATTCATTGTCGACGGCCGTTAGCTATAAGCCATTAGCCGTTAGACGTTGTCGTCGGCCCCGGAGCCTCTGCTAGGTGGCGTGCCTCTACCAGGGAAGGTGCCGCTGCGTGACGGGGCCAGCACCTCAGGGGTAAAACGCCGGGCGGACAGGAAGAACCGTTCAGCTCCTTCGGCTAAAGCGCGGGGCTCAACACTAGCCGTGTTAGCAAGCGCTGTCAGGACATGCGGCTGCATGTCCCGAAGAAACAGTCCCATGAACAAGAAGTCGGGTTCTTCCGTACATAGCAGGTTGTGTATCGTCTCCATGTGGTCGGAAGGCTTGCTGTCTCCCAGTGCCGAAACGATGTGGAAATAGCGTGCGTCGTCATCGGTCATTCCGCGGAGGGCGAAACGAGGCTCAGTCGGTGCGAACGAAACAGCCGCAGACGTCTCCCAAAAACTCCGGCAGTTCGAGAAAAACGGGACTTATGTCAGGGTCACCAATGTAGTGCCGAGAGACGGGAGTCAGAGGCGGTGCATCGAAGGTAAAAAGTTAGCTTTATTGAGCATCAGAAACACACATGTTGTTGGCTTGAAGCCCGGGAAGAGAAGGGGAAGAAGAAAGGAGGGCACGCAGTAGGTACAGTCAACATATGTGTCCGTGCGGAACAATACCCCCAACCCGTAGTTCCATGAGTGAATTATGTCAATCAGTGCAATAACAGCTTTAAAGTAGTAGTTTCTGTAGCTGAATGTATGCAGAAGGAGTAGCGAACACAAAAACGAACGAAAGACCGACGTTTTTTTTAGGATTTGGATAATAATAGTGAGTCAGTATTCACAATAATAATAATAATAATAATAAACCACAGTCTTTTAGATGACATCCTTAATGTATAGGTTATTTTCCAGTTTTAGTTTCTGATAAAAAGCCTCTGTATCAGCATCCCCTAATCCAGTGGTTCTCAAATCGGGGTACGTGGACCCCTAGGGGTACGTTGGAGTACTGCAGGGGGTACGTGAGATTTATTTTCTGTTCATGAAAAAAAAAACATAAGTAATGGATTTAAACAAACTACTACTAAGAGTAGATTAACTACTTTATTCAAAAGTTTACAGTAATTCTGGATAATAAAATGGGAAAAATAAACGGGGTGCTCTCTTTTCCTCTCCCTCTCCTGACAGCAGCTCGCTGATCCTGTAATAAGTGACCCGACAGTAAAGAATAAATATATTTATAACTAGTTTAGCTAGTTCCAGAGTAGATAATCTAGCTAAGTGTGTTAGGTATTACTCGTAGTGTATTTTGCTCCGCTCAACGGTCCGTCACAGTGGGGGAGCTGTGATCCGGAAGAGCTGCGTGTTCTCCGTCAGCAGCAGCTGATCTGATCTCTGATCTCTCTCTCTCTCGCGCGTCCGGTCTTCACTCGCGTTTATATCCAAATCTATCAGATCTAGCTAGTTCTAGTTAATTATATGAATGCCTGCTTATCAAAGGACACCAAAACAATAAGCGTTGCTTGTTGGTGTGTGGCCGCAAAGTATAGCGCAGCATTATGCATATGTTTATATGAGGGGTCAAAATCCCATGCTCATAAAATGCTCATATATTTTTCTCTCTTCATTTCCTACGTCCCGAAATAAATAAATATTCCCCATTTTAGGAAAAGTAACGAAGTTTGAGCAGTGTGGGTTTTATATTAACAGATTACACATATTTCAAAACGCGAAGTGTAATAACTGCAGTTTGCCTCCCTGTCAGAATGATAAAGATCCTCAGTGAAGCACAAGCCCATGTTTCACTACATTGTAAGTACAACTTATTAAAAAGATCAGTTCAATGTCGTCTTAGTGTTATTATGTTGAAATTGGTTTGCCATGAATTTAGTGATGGATTGTAAACATTTGAAATGTAGCATTTAAGTGTTTCTCAGTTACAAGATTGTTGTTTTAATAAATCAGACTCTGATGGTGCAGCACTGTACTGTACCTCTTTATATAGGCGTTTTTTCCCTAACAAATTGTTTTTGCGCTGATCAGTGAGTACTTGGCTGAATTTATTTTTCAAAGGGGGTACATTATTGAAAAAGTTTGAGAACCACTGCCCTAATCCCCTCCACTTCACTCAACTGGAGCTTCAAAACTTTATATTAAACCGAGGAGGCACAGTTTAATAACGGGAGGATATTCTGGTCTGCAGAGAACGTGTCCGTCAGCAGGACGAGGACGCTGCTGTCCTCAGAGAGTCGCAGCTAGGATCACATACAGTTCATACATATGCAGGAGCGGGGTCCTCTTCAAAATCAATCTTTTAAGAAAAATGTCTGGTGTTGCACTTGCTTGATGTCCGGCTGTGTTAGTAAAGTTGTTGACATGCCACCTTTTGTTAAAACGCGCACAAGAAAAAATAAAGGGGCCCTATTATGCTAATGTTCAGGTTCATATCAGTATTTTGTGCCTTTACTGTTAAATGTTTCCATGCTTTAATGTTCAAAAAGCTCTTTATTTTTATCATACTGCCTGTGCTGCAGCACCTCTTTTCACCCTCTGTCTGAAACCAGAGCCCAGTCTGCTCTGATTGGTTAGCTGGCCGGCTCTTTTGTGATTGGTCAACCGCTCCGGGATTTCCAGCCCATTAGCCTATAACGTATAATATGTTGAAGCGTGTGTGTGTGTGTGTGTGTGTGTGTGTGTGTGTGTGTGTGTGTGTGTGTGGCTGCAGTTCTGTCTCTGTGTCTCCAGCAAGTGATGAGAAGAACTGAACGATTATATAATGTGTGTGTGTGTGTGTGTGTGTGTGTGTGTGTGTGTGTGTGTGTGCATGCGTGTGTTAGTGTTGGCTCATGGCCCAGCTGCTCAACAGTGACTCAGCAATATCACACTGCACTGACGGTGCGTGTGTGTGTGTGTTATATTTGTATGGATATATGATGTTTTTCTGTGACAGTGAAATAAAAACTGAGTGAGTAAGCAACAAAATGTGTCCATGTGTGTAGGTGTTTGTGTGTGTGTGTGTGTGTGTGTGTGTGTGTTAGTAGGGGAACTATGAATAAAATAATATAGAATGTTTCCCATTCAAGCCTATAGCTAAAGATGTGTCGTCTGCCATCACATGTGAATTTTTGATAAACCTGTATATTAAAAATGTTTAATATTACATTCCTTGTGCTTTTCTGTCAGTGTGCGTATATGGTGACCGACAGGTGCAAACGAACTGCAATGGCACAAAACACTCCCATTAGGAGAGACGCGCTGCCGGTTCAGAAACGATGCAAATATAAAAACAATAATGTGCCAAAACACATGCAAATTAAGAAACATCTTCACCAACCTGACAACAAACACGCAGAATTTAGAAAACATTTACCTATTTTATGAAACGCTTCAAATACACAATGCTGCCTATACAGAACGCTGCAAGAAGCTGAAAACAAGATTGAAATGGGGATACTTAAAAGTGACGCACACAACTGGGACCGGAGCGCTTTGCAGACGCTCAGGGATTATAAAGTTGGTCAACTGTCACTCTCGCAGAGTTATAGTATGTTTCATAATAGTGTTTTGTCAGTATACTGGAAATGACAAGGTAAGCTACGTAAGCTTGCTATCTAACAGCAGATCTGCAATTATATTGGAAGGAATCACCCAATCATTTTGTTGATGGGTAGGTTATCATTGACGTTAACAGTTGGCCAATTTATAATCCCTGAACATCACCAAGCGCTCTGGTCCCAGCTGTGTGCAGCACTTTTTACTGTCCCCGTTTTCGCTTTGAGCTTCTTGCAGTGTTTTTTTTCATTTGCAGCACTTTTAGTAAACACTGCGTTGTCAAGATGCTGAAGA